CGAGGACCGGCTCTCTGGGTAGCGCCGCGGGGGTTGGCCAGCCCCTGCCGGGCTTGGCCGGGATGGAAGCTCGGGTCTGGGAGGGAGTCACCAGCTGGCTGGTGGGGGGAAGTGGCGGTGTTGGGGAGATCCGGAGAGAAGTTTCCTCTGCAGGTGTGTGAGTGTGAGTGCGTGCCACGGTGTCTGTGAGAGTGTGTGAGTGTGGCACCGTGTGGGTCCGTGGGTGATGATGTGTGCCAGCGAGTGTATGCAGCGAGTGTGTGTGTGTCATTGTGGGCGAGTGTGTGTGCGTGTCAGTGGGTGTATGCAGTGTGACTGTGGAGGGTGTTACTGTGTATATATATATCTATGGACATGTGTGCGAATGAGTGTGTGTTGTCACGGCATGTGCCTGTGTATGTCTCTGTGAGTGTGTGTGTGTGTGTGTGTGCCGGTGTGACTGTGTCTCTGTGAGTAGCTCCTGGTATCTGTGGCCTGTATGAGTGAGTGAGTGAGTGTGTGTGTGTGTGTGTGTGTGTGTGTGTGTGTGTGTTGGCTGTGTGAGAATGTATCTGAGGAGAGTTCACTCTGAGTCGCCCACATCTGGGCTTCCTTCTCTGCCTCCCTCTCCCAGGGGATTTCAGAGGTCAGAGCATCCCCTCTCACCAGGGGCTCTTCCTCCTGTGTCTCCTCAGGCAAGAGCTGAATTGCACTGGGCCCCACCTTCACCTACCTCAGGGGCACTTTCTGTGATGCTCTGGTTGTGTCCTTGCTGCATGCTGGGGCCCCTGGCGGTAGTGGGGCCCCGGGTGAGCTAGAGGATGTGTGCTTCTTCTTGGGGCCCAGGAACTTGTGTTGTCTCAGTCCTGTTTCACCAAAGGACCGTTAGAAACGGGAACCGAGCAGGCCAGGTAGAAGCGCCTGCCCTGTTCCTAGTCACCGGAGCAGGTGGATGTCCCACCAGACTTCTCAGCCCTGAATTTACAAGTTCTAGGTCATTGGTTCAGTCTACTGGCTCTAGGTGGGTCTGTGCTGAAGCTCTTTGAAGTAGTCGTAGTAGAAATAAATAAAAAATAAATAAATAAAAACAGTGCCTTTCCATCAGTCCAGGACTTTTGAAACATGCTCCCCTCTCAAGTCTTTCTTTTCATCTCCCCAACAGCTCTGGGAACCAGAGCCAGCTTAAGCCACGTGAAATTGCAAATACTCAACTGCTTTGGTTTTTTATTTACAAAAACAGCAATTTCATCTAGCTCAGCCTAATGCCAATTTATAGATGAAGATGTTGAGGCTCAGAGGTAAATTGTATTTTCTATAACCCATAGTCAGTGGTACAGAAAGGCTCCAACCGAGGTTTTTTGGTGACTGAAGGAGCTGTGTTGGGCCAAGGTTAGTGAGTGGTACTCCCTGCTGTGTGCTCTTGATCCTGGGGGCACTGCCTCCACCTCTGCCCAGCATTTCATGAGTGCTGGGGCTCCTTCTGCACCCAGCTGCCAAGGCCTAAAAGGGAGAAAGGGGGAGATGAGAAGAGGGAGGGGAGGGAGAGGGTTCGTGAGTTTGCAGTGAATCAGGGTCTAAAAAGGGAGTTGGGAGGGCTAGGGTGGCAGGTGTTTCTAAAAAGAACATGAACATGGGATGAACAACTTTACATACTACCCCTGCATGCTCGACCCCCACTAACCCACTCATCTGACAGGCAGTGCCCACTGCATTTAATGCCAGGGGGCTCATGTCCAAGGAATGAGCTTGTATGTCACTGTAAGATGATGGTTAGGGGAGGAAGCTTAGCATTAACTTGTCCAACCTCTTAATTATAAAGTGAAGACACTGAAACCCAGAGAAGGGAGGGGATTTGCCCAAGGTCACAATGTGTAGGTTCCTGGCTAGTCTTAGCCCAGGAACTTTATAACCCTCCATGTTGCTTTCTATTCCTGGAAACCCTTTCCCCTCCCCATGCCCATCAGAACTGAGCAGAGATTTGGGGAGAAGCATTAAAGACTCAATAAACCTAAGACTAAAGGGATCCCTTCAACCTGGGATCCCTTTCCAAAGAGAGGGAACTACAGATGTTTCTGGAGATGGGGATTCCTAGCCATACCCACCATCAATGTAGACCATGGGCTTGTCTTGATTCCTGCTGGTGAGGGGCTGGAGCTGCTGCAGGCCAGACTCCCAGACTTTATTCTGTGACAGCGCCCGCTTTCTGCTGCTGCTGCCTGGCACCTCACATCATCTCTCTCCTGCTGATGTTGATGCTTGAGCTGGCTGCGCTACATTTTCTTTCATCCCACCCAATTTCTGATGCATTTTGCTTCTGGCTGGCCTGACAGTTCCTTACTTTATGGGTTCCTGTTGGGTAGAGAAACTTCTGGGGCTTGTTCGATTTTGGAAAGGTCTGATGTTACCCTTAACCTTTCTAATTAAACCTTCCAGGAGTCTCAGATAAATTATAATGACAATGGTTCCCATTTTACAGATGGGAAGACTGAAATTCAGAGAGGGGCTTCTTGTTTGTTTGGTTTTCTCTTAATCTACTAAGATCAGTAGTGGAAGAGGTTCCTGGAGTGAGGGGACAAAGGGAGCAAATGACAACAGTAGCTTTTGTCTGGAGGAGCTTGTACAGGCAGACCCGTTCCAGTGTCTTACCATTCCCATGGTCAGGAAACCTCCTCAGGGTCTGACTTCTTTCCCACTTGGTGGGTTCAAAGCTTGTCTCTCAGTGGGGGTTGGAAGAACAGCTGTGAAACCTCCACTATCCAAGCATTTGTCTCAGTTCCCCCCTTACCCACCCTCCCTCCAGTCTGAAGGCTGCTGGCTCAGCGGGCCTCCTGCTGTCTGGGGAGTCTGGGTTTGAGCTGGGGTGAGGCACTGGTACCATTGTTATGGTAACGACCTGCCAACTCATCGTTGCTAATAACTTATCAAGTCCCTGGGCTCAAATGCAGCATGCCTTCCCACCAGCCCTTCTCCCCACGTCACAGAAAGAAACAGTGAGGCTGTGAGGGAAAGGTCTGTGAAAAAGGGTGTCTGGGGAGGTGGGTGGCCTTGTATTGGGGTTGTAGCTGAAGAAACGGGAAGGTCACTTGGGGGCTGGTTTATGCATATGATTACATAATTTGCATATGTAATAGGCTGTTACATGTCAGTACACTCAGAACATACTTGAATAAACCTGTACATGCAAGATGACATGTTCATGTGCTTTTACACAGCAGCCCACATGCACACATGTTCCCAAGCGTCAGAACATGCTTGTGTATGAATACTGCCTCTACCATCTGCACATAAAGCACCCAAGAAATCTGGGTTTGTGGGGGTGTCCAGGTATGTGGGTTGGGATCTGATCTTTTTCTGATGCAGCTTCAAAGTGTCTTGTTAACAAAAGGACAGAACAGTCCCAGGGTTTCTTCTTCCTTCTTTCCAGCCAAGAGCTCAGAATGGGAGTGGGCTGGGGATGGTGTGCGGGCCCTAAGCTCCCAGCTCCCAAAGGCCCCTGCCTCTATGCCCTTTGAACTCATGTCTCCTCTGCCCCCTCACTCTCTATTCTTTCTCATCCTCTCCTCGTCCTGTGTGTAAATATTAAAGAGCTGAGCCTGCAGAGCTGATGTAGACATGGGGAGAGAATGAAATTAAAAAGGATTCCCTCACCCCCATCCCAACACCCCCACCCTGCAGTCCCCCGCTCCTGCCTCCTTCCCTCTCCCTTCTCCTCTCCCCATCACTCAGTGCTTCCACATGTCTCTCCTCCCCCCAGTCCAGATGGGAGCTGGCTCCTTCAGGAAGGGGGCTTAGAACTGGGTGTGGGGAGCTACCTCTCTCTGTCTCCCTCACTACATCTGCCTGCAGGGCTGGGAGCCCCCACGTGAGTATGTCTTTTATTTTGGGGGGTGGTGGTTAGGAAGGAAAGTGGTGTTTAGAACCAGCTGTGAGTGGCGTTAAGAGGCTCAGGGCTGAAAGGAGGTGGGTGGGGTCCTGTCTCTAGGCTCCCTCAGGGAAGCCTCCTGTCTGGGTTTCTTTTCTCTCTTTGGACAGAGACTGAAGGGAGGGCTACCAGATGCCTCCGGTGGATGGGAGCGAGTATGGGAGGGGTTGGGGGAGAGGGGCTTCTGTTCTAAAGAGGTGTGTGTTAGGGTAAGCCTGTTCCTTTCTGGCAGGCTGGGTTTCTGGCAGGGCGTCCTGCAATCCTTGGGAGCTGTCCCGAGTGCTGAAAGGGACTCGGAGGGGGTTTGCTCATTCGGATCTGTCCTGGGTTCTGAATAGGCCTGTGTTGGAGCCCGATGATGAAAAGGCGGTTGGGCAGTACTGAGGGCTCACTAGAAAAATTCTCCCAGATGACCCACTTTTCAAGGACAGAATTCCTGGATGGAAACATAGATTTGGGGGTCCTCCCTCTGCCTTTAGGCCTCACAGTTATTAGTGGTATTTGGGAAAGGGACTTCTCTTCCCCTGTTTCAGTTCCCCTTCCCCTTTCCAAAATTACCCTACTGTTACTGTGGGGGTAGGGATGGAGGATGATGTTGTGGCTGTGAGCAGTCTTCGCATAGATGGTTTTATCCAATAATCTTGGGGGTACTGGCACCAGCCTTTCTCCTACTGGGTCCCAGAAATTCAGGCTCAAGGCAGTTTTGGATTAGGAGAGCTTAGGTTTTGCTGGTTAGGCCTGGGGTGGTTAGAGGTCGAAAGTTTAGGATAATTTGATTGACTATGTGACATCCCCCTGCCCACCATACTTTTGAATTTGGGAAAGGTACAGTAAAATATCCTGCAAGCCTGCCTTATGCTCTGCCCACCCCAACCACAGCTCAGAGCAGCATTTGGGGAGGCTTTTATTGGGGAGGAAGATTTCTAAGCAAAGGATTCAAGGAGTGGGTGGGGTAGTTCAGTGCCATGGAGCAGAGAAGGAGGAGGCTACTGGAGATGGGGCAATGAAAAAGAGGGAGAGCTGGCAGAGAAGGAAAAAAATCAAATTTGGGGACAAGGTCTTGGTTTCAATCCTAAGTTCCCTTGTAAATCTTTTCCCCACCAACCTAAGGTCAGGGTTATCTCAATTTTCTGGGTTTTTACACTCTGTCTTTGTAACTCTGAAGGGAATAGAGCAGGGACATTTCTCCAGGCCCCTTCCCTTGTCTTCCCAGGGGGATGAGAGCCAAATGTCAGGACATGCAGATGAGACTGTGGGGGAACAACAGGCAGGAAGGGTTGATGGCAGCGCTGCCTCCCATCCTCATGAGCACAATCAAATATTCAAATGGGATCCTTCTTGAGGGGAGAGGAATGAGAGGGTTTCCAGATGACGCTGGGCACAATTAGGTGTGGCAGGAAGTTCAAGAAAAGAGGTATCTGGGGACCATAAACTGAACCAATTCAGGCCTTCCCAGATGTGACTTCTAGGTAATAAGGAACCCTTCACCCATCGTGTTTTTGATGTAACTCATCAAGTTGATTCCTTCCATTCTGTAGCTACTTGGGAGGAGCGGAGCTTTCCTATGCTGTGGGTGCTGGGAGGTGGTGGGCGTGGGTGTGGGTGCCTGTTTGGGGAGGGGAGGTGTTTGTGCTTCACTCAGCTCCCTTGGTTACATAACAGCTTTGATAAGACTTTACTTTGGAGCGGCTGCTACTGCCTGAAGCAGTCACCCCTCCACCCCCACGTGGAATGCTGGATGTCCACCCCCTTCTCCCTGGCCTCTTGGAGAGTCCTGCTATTCATAATCCAGTATTCCAGCAGCAGATTTCCTGCTGGGAGATGTCTTCTGCTTGCCTCCCCTCTCCCTACCCAGCTCCTGTTTTTTTTTTCTTTTTAAATACTTACTTCTTTTGTTATCTTGAGCCCAGGTCACCCCCTTTACATGTTTAAGCTTCTCTTTCCTACCCTCTCCTTGGCAAGGCCCTTGGGCTGGGCTGGGAGGGGTTCACTGAAAATCACGAAGCTGCCCTCTAGGGAAGAAGGAGGCATCCCAGGAGGTTTTAGGGCCCAGGGGTAATTTTCTTACTGCTTCTTCCTTGTGCCCAGTTCCAGTAACTGTTTTGGAGTCTGGGAGCAGTAGAACATACCCAGAGGTACTGGCAGGAAGAACTCTGGCCTTGATATTTTCTCTTCATTTTCCCTTTTAGAATAAAACAGTTGTGTATATAGGGGGTGGGGACTGCCTCTTGGGCACATTCTATTGATAATAGAAATGACTTTCCAAATGGAGAAGTGGGAGACTGGCAAGAATAGAGAGCAAATGCAAACTTGCGGTGTCACTTGGAGAGAATAGGGACTCCTGGCTTTGTGCACAGGACAGAAGTCAGAGAGGGGCTGGATATCTCTGCTCTTTCAGTGCATGTGCATATGTATTTCTGCCTGTGAGTGGGTATGCCACTGTGTATATGCACATACATATGTGTGAGGATGCTATATGAATGTGTACCAACATATTTATGTAGAAGTTTGTGTAGAAGTGGACATATATACATGTTTATATGTATGTATGGCTTATGTATGCATCCATGCACATATGTGATTGTGGAGGCAATTACTTAATTAAACCTATGTGTGTGGTGCTCATCCAGTGATGCATATATGTGAGTATAAGTATGCATGTGAACATACATGTGAGAACACATTTATGCACATATAAATATATGTACATAAGTTGAGTCATGCATGTGAATTAATATGACAGAAAGAAAGAATGAGAGAGAGGTTGATTCTCACTGAACATTGAGGCTGTCCAAAAGTTGTTTCCCACAAGCTTGAACTTGATCTACTCTGATGCCTGTGGCTCTTCTTCAGAAAGCAGGTTCCTGAGTCTCTCAAATTCTCTTGTCACAGGGACCCAGTTGTTCCCCACCACCATCCATATGAAGGGAGTTTGTAGAAGAGAAACCTATACAGCCTTGGGGACACCTGGGAAAGGAGCTGAGACCAAGGCTGATCAGATACTAGGGTGCTCAGGGGTATATATGGGGAAAGAGTTTGGGAGCTTAAATATTCACATCACTACAGAGGTTTCAAGAATCAAGCAGAACCAGTTGTGTTTAGTGGATGAAAGGGACAGGCATAGTAGGTAGGCCCAAGTGTGTTCATAATCCTCACACATATGGGGCATGTGGCAATCTGTGTGTACATGTACATGTATGTTACTTGTCAGTGCCTTAGTATGCATATCTCAAAGTAAATACACTTTCTAACATGTAAACACATGAAAAATCCAAAAGATATGTTAGCATGTGCATGTATGCTAGCACACGTATCTGTTTGAAGAAAGTATGCAGAAATATGTGGGCATATGCTAACACTGGCCTGATTGCAACCTGTGACTGCATACATGTGCACCTCACTCACCCTGCTTAATCACAGCTTGTAAATAGTCCTGTTTCCATCACATGTGGCTCACCCAGTGCAGCCAATGTTTATTTTATGCCTGTGATGTGCCACGTACTGTGCTGGACACTGGGGATGGTCCTTGACCTCAGGTAACGTACAGTGTAGAGAAGGCAAAATACCTGGAACCAAGTAAGGAAGGTAGGAGGGCATGTGTTAATTAGGGGCAGTGGGGACCGATGAGGGGTTGGTCAGTTCTGGAGTGGGGAAGGAAGGGGTTTGGTAAAGGATCTAGAGAGGAGGTCTTTGAGCCAAGGCTTGAAGGTTGAACAGGTGTTCTTCAGGTGAGCAACTGTAGGAAAAGGAGTTTCAGTGACAGGAAATGTCCCAACTGTTCTCTCTACTTCCACCCTTGCCAGCCCCTCCTCCACAGATTCTCCTGCAGAGCAGCCAGAGTAAGATGAGGTAATGCCTTTCCATCTCACTAAGAGAGAAATACAAAGTGCTTAGCGGGGCCCGAAAGACAAGTGCTGTATGTAAAATGCCCCCAGTGACCTTCCTGGGCTCAGGTACCACCCCGACACTGGCTTTCTTGTGGTTCCACAAAGATGCTGAGCATAGTCCCACCTTGAGGCCATTGCACTTGCTTTTCCCTCAGCCTGAAATGCTCTTCCCCCAGATACCCACGTCACTTGCTCCCTCACTTTATTCAAAAAATAAATTGGATGGATTCAAGATCCCAACTCCACTTTTGCTCAGAAGTCACTTTTTTGAGAGGCCAAAGTCTATCTTAATAGCCCCTTGTCATTCTATCCCTCATGGCACTTTTTTTTTTTAATTTTAGCACTTACCACCTCCATTATTTCAAATATTTGGTTATCATCTTTTTCCACTAGAACATAAATTTCATGAGAATGGGAGCTTCATTTGTTTGTGTATTGCTGTATCCACTGTGTCCAGAGGAGTTCCTGGCTTAGAGTAGGCCCTCAGTACATACTTACCGAATACACCAATTTTAGGTAGATCACACTGGTAGCCAGCGAAGAGAATGGGTGGCGCTGGGCCAAGATGTGACTGCGTTCTCCCTTTTGGATCTTGTCATCACCACCCCACATATGCTTACTCCTGCCAGCCAGGTGCAGAGGGCTGCCATGCCAGGTCCCTCTGGCTCTATTCAGTTAATGATACAGGGCTTCCCACTCAGGCAACAGGGGTAGAGAGCAGGGTCCTGAACAGTGGAAAGGTTTTAGGAAGTTAGAGCCACAGAGGCTTAGAGACACATGGACAGAGGCATTCAGACCTGAGAAGAGTGCTCAAAGTCAAGGCCCAGACTTCTTGAGGCCAGACGCAGGGGGAGACAGGACAGCATTCTCAGACAGCACCTCAGTCTAGCCCCCATCTCCTTCGCTCCTCTGTTCCTCTCCCTGCCCCACTCCTGCTCCTCTCTCCTGATGGGGTGGGTGCCTTGGCCAAGTATGGGCTTAGTAGGGAGTGAGTGGTCCCCCTAGTCTGTGATGTGATGGGGGACACTCAGAGAAAAGGGACCCAGTTTCTAG